TGTGGGTTCCCGATAAAAGTATTCTATTTATTACAATCTGTGGAGGAGGCACATTCAAAACGCGTCATGCGTTGACATCCGATTTCAGCGTCTCTCCAAACATATTTGATGTTTAGGGGTTGCACTCTCTTCATATTATTTATTTTTAATGTACCTTGTGGTATATTATAATTTATTTATAATATTGTAAATTTTACCGTTTTCAGTACAGTATGTTGTTTATGGCTAGACAATGTTGAAAAGATTTATATTTATTGTTTATAATTATTTATATTTTTTAACAGGTGATCAGTATTTAGGTATAAGAACCTATATGTTTTTTGTTAGTTAAATTTAAGAGGTTAAGTCTAACATACTTATTTTTTTATTATACTTATAATAAAAAAGATTTCGATTCATTTTATAGACTAGATTAAAAGGTCGTTATAACCCTATGTCAATTTCGTGGGCTCAAGCACCCCTGTCAATATGTGTAAAGTCAATACTTGCGAGTGTGAATAATTTTTCATCCATTTCTTATTCCTATTATAAATATGGGTAGCTTACTATCAGTCACCACGCAGGATACACTTTTCAATATATTTCAACAACCACTTAAAAGGATTTGTAAAAATATTTTATTTTACCTGTCTTATAGGTCTATCTAATAATACGTTTTTTTGTCACGTTTTTGAAAACAGTATAAGGAGGAGTATCAATGGCAGAAAATATTAATTTAAAAAACAGTGGAAAGAAAAAACATTTATCAAAATTATTGATATTGACGTTTCGTGTTATGTTAAACGTAAAATTATATAATATAATAATATAAAATTTAGACGACACGTTTGGCACAGTTTGTAGTGACTCTACTTGCTGTGGCAGCGGTGGCGGGTTCGAGTCCCGCTGGGGGCATTCACTTGTGAGATGAGCATGTTTGTACCTACTCCAGTCATGGGTGTTAATATTTAAAGTTAAATATGTGTAGGTGATGGTGATATGGTGTCCATAATACAAGCTTCATAGCTTACCATGGAACGCGATGATGCTGTGTGTTAATGTACCAACATATTTATTTATAAAATAAAACAAAAAATCACTAAGTATACATAAATATGTACAATATTCAGACTATCTAATATTTAAAAGGAACTAAAAGTACACTACATCGCTAGCTGGCTATTCACGCTAAAAGTATCATTCATTCTGCACTGCGGTCAGCTCCGACTAAACCGTTCAGCGAAGTCAAAAGAGCTTTGACTTCAAAGCGTATAGCAACACCAAGAGAATGCAAAATAAACTAGCAACACTAAAGGAAGAGTGCAAAATAAATGCAGCAACACCACATTACACAGCCACTGAATCAAAAGACAGACTGAGCGTGAAGTGATGAAAACTGGAAAAAATAATAAAGGTACCCTCTTGTTAACTGTTAGGCGAGTCCTATTCTGGGATCTTAGGTCGCGCGCGATGCTAGTGACCTATGCAAGAAAACATTCCACGCTTTTTCTGTACTATATTTTTATTTAACTACTAATAATATAAAGCTGAAGAGATTATTTAATATTTTGTTTGAATGCGCTAATATCTGGAACGACCAGTCAGATTTAAAATTATTTTTTACATATTGTGGCTCATTCATCGAGAATGGTTACTATAGGCTATTAACAGGACACTACGTTTAGGAGCGCAGCAATTACATATTTGTAAATAAACTAGCATTGCCCGCGGCTCCGCCCGCGTTCAGATGTCCGAAAACCAAATTCTTAGGTTTTACATATTAGTATACTCTTACAACGCTGTTTTTGTATTTTTTCTCAGAAATAAGATATTTTCCCGCGGTAAAAAGTGTCTTATATGTTGACCGGTTAACCAGCTATCATCATACCAAATTTCATCAAAATCTATCAAGTGGTTTTCTCGTGATGCGGTAACAGACAGACAAAAATTCAAATTACAATTTTATTATATGTATAGACTACGCTAGCGGCATACCAACAGGCAAAAGCCAGAAATATATTTATTAAAAAAAAATATAGTTCTCTACATTATATAAATCATAATGTAAATGGATGTAATGGATTTTTTGAATTTGCGTTGCATACTTCGCTAAAAGATGTGGATTTAATCCTAGAATGTGTTGAATGATTGAATTGACCATTCAAATATACTCGTATGTATACCTACATATAATGTATGTTAAAAATGCTATATATTGAGAAAATAATATATTTTAACATCATAAAAGAAAAATCTAGCTTCAGAATAAGCATCTTAGATAATTCTGACAAAGCACTTTGGTGGCCTGTGTCAATATGAAGTGCTACTCGCGAAGGGAGAGACGGATGATTTTTACATCAAAGCTATGCCGACCTGCAACACACCTCGTAAACACAACTTAAATGGATACCCATTTAAAGCTATGGTACAAAGCTAACACGGCGTTGTAATTCGCCACAAGTACTTCCTTCATATGTGAGAACAGGCTATTGCTTTAGGAACAAAAGGCCTTTTGTTTTTTTATTTTAGTTTTGAAATAGATTCTTAAATTTCAAATCACCAAATAGTTTTTACGTATAAGTACGAATTTCAATTTTGTTATTTTCTTTAAATTAAAATGACAGTAGATATATTTACTTGAGCTTTTTTATTTTTATTTCCTTTCAGGTTTTATATGATTGTAAAAATATGTATAAAAATATATTACATAAACATATTTTAATCAGTAGGTAATTATTTTTAAAATGTATACGACAGCACACTTCAAACGAGTTTAACATTTGTATTATCATTAAATGACAATGAGTGAAGCGTACCTGCGATCGGAACGTACATTAATTAGTACAATATAAATTATCGAAAACAAAGCACTACCTCGTGCCCAAATTTAATTTCATAGTTCGGTAAATGTATGAAATGTGGCTGCAGTTGCCGTGCTAGTTGCTACGTTATTTACTGCGCGGGAACACTACTGGCTGGCTACGAAAAGCAATAATTCGATTATTGGTTGTGGCCACCTCTGAGTGCTTTACATTATTCCTTTATAGTGTTAACGATGATAATTTATGTTTAGCAACATTTATTGTAATGTTATTATTTAGACACCGCGTATACAACTATTGAGAGGTCTTTAATACACCTATACCATAGGTATATTTTTAATTTTATGTGAATATTATTTATATTATGGAATTTTAAAAATACAAAATACATAAGGCAGTAAGTTGCTGATGCTGTTGGAACTTGCCTCTCAATTTTTACAATTTAATGTCATACAGTAGTAAATTATTAAGCATTGTTGGCTAAATACTATTTACTAAAAATATTAATTTATTAAATTAATTAAAGATTAAAAGCTGGAAATAATTGTCTGAATATTTTATAACTTCTGTTATTTATAATTGTAAGGAATAAGGGATAATAAAACAAGGAATAGATAATAAAGACACATTGACTATTTTAATATATGATAATAAATTAACTAATTATGTATTTAAGGTTAACACCTTCACCTTGATAGGTTAGCATTGTTGGTTGTTATGTAAGAATAATGTATATTTTATTTATTGTGTAGATTGTAGATACTTCCGTGTATTTGGCACACTAATATATCGGACTACAATTATAAATGTGAAATTTTGTATGTGTGTGTATGTTTGTTACTCTATCACGCTGAAAAGGCTGGACGGATTTGGATTAATTTAATACACAGATAGACTATGATCTGGACTAACACATAGGCTACCGTTAGATACTCATAACTCAGGAATGCACCCAAGCAAAGTGAGGCTATGTCGCTAGTAGGAATATTAATAAAAGTAAAACAAAATGTAGGTGAATTTTAGTTGTAATTATTTGTTTTTTTTTTGTAAAAATTGTATTGACACAATAAATGCTTTTAATTGAGTTGGTGAATGCTAAAAAATATTATCTATCTACGCATATAGGATTCGTAAAATGTAGCTATTTTTTAAAAGGCAAAAGTCTAAGTTTAAAAATATAGAAAGTTGAATAATTTCATTTAATATTTTTATAATTACGAAACCTTTTGATATTTAAGCCTAAGCTATCAACCCTTCCATCTGTCCTATATTTAATGGATTATTATACCTATACAAGGCAGTGGTAGCCCAGTGGTAACGCGCTCGCTTGGGAAACCCCGGGTCTCGCACCTCTGATCTTTTCACGTGCGAATCATTTCTAACATGATTACCACTTGCCTTACGGTGAAGGAAAACATCGTGAGGAAACCTGCATGTTTGAGAGAACCTAGCAAGTTTTCGAAAGACATGTGAAGTCCGCCAACTCGCACTTGGCCAGCGTGGTGGACTATGGCCTGATCCCCCTCGTATTGAAGGGAGGCCCGTGCCCATCAGTGGGACGTCAAAAAGTGCTGAATACACAAAATACCTATACATATTATTTTCAACCATGAAAGGAAACCGGTTGGAATTTTCATACAATATGTGTTATTATAACGGAAAAATAAAAAGCAAAAATTATAAAGTTAAAGGTAGTCTTCCATATAAGAAAAATATTTTTAGATTGCTTTATATTTTTGTTTGAATCAAAAGTTTTGTATTGAGTCCCTTTTTATTATAGTAACATAAATATACCTACTGCGTGATGGATTCTCGTTACGTACAAATTTATTGTATTTAAAAAAATAATAATTTCGATAATAATGATACTGCCTTACTAATGTTAGAAATGTGAAACTTACTAATATTTGAAATGTGAAAGTTTAGATGTTTGGATGTTTGGATGGATGTTTGTTACTCAATCACGCTAGAACGGTTGAGCGGATCTGAATGAAATTTGACAAAAAATTGATTATTGTCCGGAATAGTACCTACATAGGTTACTTTTTATACCGGACAAATGTACGGTTCCCGTGGGATGGATTTGTTTTGGTTTATTTAGAAGCGAACCTAGCGAAAAAAGCGATGCAAGGGTGAGCCGGTAGTAATACTTATACTAATTCACCATTTTTAACGTGCCACTGCTGGTCAATCTCACTGATGCTAGGTAAATTCGCCGTAGTGCACAAGTGCACCGGCATTCCTAATAGGGACGTTCAAATTCCGGTGGGACGACAACCTGGCACGACCGGTGAGAGATTAGTCGCAGGACCGACGGTTCGTAACGTCAACACGTAATGTTCTCCGAGACATAGGGGTCAAGCACCACCAACTTCCCAACTCCGGGCTGAGAATTTCGTAACAGACAAAATCAATAACGAAACTTGGCCTGACCCCGGGACTCGAACCCAGGATCAGGACATCCGGATCTGTAGTCATAGGTTAGCCACTAGAAGCCGACCAAGTCACACGAAAAGCAAGAACTGGGGTTCGAACCCGTTTTACTTTCATAGGAGCGCCTATAGTGCCATTTGTTTGAACAAGTCAATAAATTCAAAATATAAAATCTAAATTTAAAATAAGTACCTAACTAAATAAAAAAGTATTTCTCATAAATGTCATATAAACAACAAAGTAGTAGAAAAGATGTATTAAACTTAATTATTCCTTCATTTTGTCCAGGTATCTGAAATTTCATTGTGGGGATTACGTTGGTGGCCGTAGCGTCCTGGAGTTACGGCTTTAATACAAAAATAAAGTTTAACGAGGACGCGCAGTCTGTTGCAGGTCCCAATGTTGAGCCCGATTTATTGCTCGCTAAAGACCATTTATTTCCAATACTTTTTGTGACTATAAATTCGCTATTTCCGTATAAACTTTAATTGCAAATTTTAATTATTTTCAATGTTTTTATCGTGGCAATAATAATCTCATAGTGCCTATGAACTCTATGTATTTGTATATTAATAGGGATAAGTAAAAAAGGTAATTTCTCTTATAGTAAAAAATAATTTTACCTGAATAATTTATTAGTAACCTCGTCAAAAAAAAATTAGTTACATAACTTGTTATATCTAGAAAAATATAGGTATTAGATAGGTACATAACTTTTTTTTTAAATAGGTAGGTAAGTTTAATTATAAAAAACGAGAAGCTATCTGAAGGTTTTTAACATACTTAGTTGTAAAATCTCAAATCAGACAGAGATTACATTGCAGCAAACAAATTATGTTTGTATGTTGATAATGAGAACTAGATAATCTGACAGGTAAAATATTCCGCGCTTTAAATACGACACAGATTACAAACTGATTTAAGGGCATATTAAGTAGGTAAATTCGTTAAATTATTTTAAATAAAGATTAAATTAAATTGTATATTTTTAAATTGACACTGTTAATAGTTGAATAAATATTTTAAGCATTTTTAAATTAACATTAATATTTTACACATTTACTTATTATATACGTAACATACCTTACGTTTGACATTATAACACATTAGAATTATTATAAGTAGAAATAAAATCTCATGAACAATGTATTTGTGTTTAAAAAAAGAACTGACTGTCACAATTATTTTATCAGCTCTTTAAATGATCTGTTGAAGCAGCTAGTACCTACCTAATCTTGTTGGTTGAACTTGTGGAAATTTATTTTAATAGGTATATAGTATACCTATAGTAAGTTTATGGAATCCTAACAAGTGCTCGGTAATAGTTTCCCCAGAGTATTATAACGTAATGCTCACATTAAAAAACTTACTTTTTTAAACCATTTAAATACCTAATAATATTAATAGTAGATACCTACAAACGCACGAGTTGCCTTAATAAGCCAACACTTAAATCATTTTCAGTTTAAAACTAGCTATAGAGATTTGGAGTCATTATGAATTAGTGTTTCTGCAAATAAAGATAAGGCCTTCCTTTGTTTTTAGTTTCTCAAACACTATGTTGTGACATGTCATTATCGCGAAGATTTATCATTGATGATAATTTTATGCATGACACTCTTATACTATACTTGATGTTTCATGTTTTATGAGTATGTACTAAAAGTATTGTAAATGTAATTACTTTTTATAGTTATAGGTGTTTTTATAAAGTTATTATAAGTAGTTGTTTACTTTGCAGAATCCACAATGGATAGGTTTACTACCTACCTAAGAAGGTTAATAAGTTTAAATATATTATTTGGTGATATATGAATAATTAAACTTAAGTCATGATAGATAAAATTAATTATATAATTCGTATTAGAGATATGAAATTGCGCATCTTAAAAGAATATAGCAAGCTAGCCTAGTTTATGTTGTAACGTTTAGTATAGATTTCTTAGAAATGAGATTTTTCCGCAGTAAAAAGTACCTATCTTATATGTTGACCCGGAAAACCAGCTATCATCATACCAAATTTCATCAAAGTCTGTCTCGTGATGCGGTCACAGACAGACAGACAGACATAAATTTCAAAGCCATAAATTCGGCCTCTGTATCGATAATAATGACTATTTCAATAAGATTTTCCAAAAAAAATATTTAATGTAGATACAGATGCCACACAGTTACAATTTGATTAGGTAGATGTAGGTAGGTATATGTAGGTACTTATAGATTAATTTATATTGAGGATTATTCAATCAATGATCATTAGATGTCGACTGTTAATTATACACAATAGACGTATAATTTGATGATATTTATTTAATTTACTAGTACCTATATTCGCTTAAGTATTTACTCAAGAAATTTTGTACAATTTATATACTTCGTCATACTCAACACTTTATGAGGGTCCTTAGTTTAACGAACACTACACTTAGATACGTGCAAAGCAACAACACTTTGACGTGCACTTATTTATAAATTTTATTTCGTAGTATTAAAGTTGCTATTTGCTCTAATATCGGCAAATAATGCTACAATACTTATTAGGGTTGAAATGTTTTTAATACAATAAAATAAAACAATAAACCTAAAATGTTTGGTAGATTAACTCAATATAGGTAGTACGTACCTATAATTCAAGTATTAAAAAATACTTTAAAAATTATAGGTAGTTAGTTATATTTGGTAATGGGTAGGTATAGATAAGTAAAAGTTCATAATTTCTATAGATATTTTTCCTTCTTTTATATAGGTAGGTACATACCTAACAGTAGTTTTGTTAGTATTTCTCGGTAGACTAAGAAATATCTGAAAAGTAGTTTACAATATTTGACATTTTAAATAAAATAAGTTTTTATTTAAATTGTAATATTTAGTATAGTAGGTAGGTAGGTAATAGCAGCTAAAATGAGATAAATAATATTGCTATATTTAATTATAATACCTACTTACTTATCTATTAAAAAAATAACAAATATTATAAGGTACCTACCTAAGTACTTTGTGCCATTTTTGAATTTTTAAATTTTTTTTGTAAAATTGTGGATAGGCACTGTCTGTAACAAGTAAATATATAAGGCCTTTGAGACGTCTAAAACCTTAGTCTGTACCATGATTGCGGTAGAGCATTCGAAACGTCGGGAACCAAAAATCTAAATATATCCACTATATAATCCGAAAAGATAGTTTTATTTAAAATAAAAAGTAGTCGGTATCTTTATAGTAATCAACCCTAGCATCGGTGTGGTGAGACAGGGCCACGAGTGGCTTTGGTTTCGTTGTCGAAGGCCATGGATTGCTATTGTTTTTATTATTAACCCCTTTGTTTTGTAATGAGTAGAAGTGTTCAGATAGGTACATAAGTAAAAGCAGATGCAGTACCTACTTTCCGTTGTTTTTATTTTAATAACACTTACATTTTAGCTACAAATTATGTGTATATATGTTTATGTATCTATAGGTACAGTTTTATGTAAATAAAATAGACGATTAACTGAAAAATTATTGAGAAAAGGAAAAATTTCACTGCCCGACGATTTAAAATCTTTCTCTTATCTCTATATTACATGTTAAATGATTTAGTTGGTTTATTTATTAAGTGGATTAGGTATATGTACAATTGTACATAGGTATTAACTAAAATATGTAATAGGTTCATTTCTCTACATACCTACGGAAATTTGATAAGTTATCCATAGATAATTTAACAAATTTTTGTATGTAGAGTCTGCATCTACATACGATAGATAGAACTATAGAGATATGATATCATGCAATACACAATACTAAATATTGAATAGGTAGGTAGGTAGGTATACGAAAAGGGTAGGTACCCAACCTTGTTGAAATAGAGCAGTATTAAATTTTAAAATTAATACGTAGAAAATTTAGACTTGCAACGAATATTCGGCTACTATTTAGTATTCGGCCTATTTGGTTACTTTTATGCTATTCGGCCGAATAGCGAATAGGTACCTAGGTACTTCAGTAATATGTTTTGCTGTAGGTAATGAGATAATAATAGGGTATATGCGTGTGATTAAAAGAAAGTTGAAATAATTTTTTTTATAATCTTTATTACTTTTGAATTTAGCCTGTATTAATATTTTTTATGTAATTTCTCTTTGATTAAGAAATAATTATTAAAAAGTGCAAAATCAGGTCGGAAATTAAAGTAGTTGAAACGTAACGCCATTGGTTAGAGCGAGTATGCCATCAAAGTATAGGTAATCATAATAGAGCGATTAGCGATTTTGTCGATTACAAATTGAGTCGTCATTTTTGCGTATATCGTACTGTGCCGTCACGCCAAGCGCACGAAATGGCGAGCATTTAAAGTAGCCGTAACAGTATATTTAAAAAAAATTAACTAAATAATTTTATATTAAATTTAAGTTTTTTGGAGCTGGATATATTGTTTTTTTCACTATCATAATTAAAATTTAGGAGTGGACGATTATGCAAAAAAAAATTTCTGTATCTTCAGGCCGTAGTTTACTCCTAGACAATCACAGGTTCAGAGAAAAGACGCTCTAAATAAATAGGTACTATTTTATTGGCGCCAAACAAGAAACAAACACATAGATACAAGTTTTCCCGCCACGCGCTGACCGAATACTCTTGCCTAATATTTGGCTATTCGGCCAGAAAGCCCACCGAATAATCGATATTCGGTGTATGGCCGAATACTATTCATTGCAAGTCACTAGATATAGCTATTAATAAATGGAGAATATAATATTTGATCAATGACATAGGTTATTTTGACATTTATATTTTTTTGTAGAGGCTAGAACTACCTACGTTTAATCTTATTTTAATTATAAAGATTTTTTTAACTCATTTCTATCTATTTTAGATTAAGTAACTATTGTTTTTTTTATTATGTACCTATAGGTACGCGTGCAGTGCGTGTAACACCTATAATTATGATAACATTTAGACCCTTTGTGGATATAATATAATTCTGTGTTTTTGTTAATGTACCTAGGTAGGTATATCTGTTGTGTTTGTGTTAATAAGAAATAAATAAATAGGTAGGGATAATTATATTTATATTAGGTATACCTACCTATAAATACCTACCCAATCCTAACCTAAAATGCTAAAGAATACCGGCTGCCGAACATTTTTCTATCTATAAGGATCTTTTTCAGTACTTAGTAGACCTACCTAGCACATAATATTATTTTATATTTACGTTACGTTGAAACAGACTTACTAAAACTCGAAGTAAGTTAATAACCTTCCGTGACCCTGACCTCGATATCAAATAACGACCTACACTGATTTACAAGCCAAGCGAACTAAGCGAACCCGACACTCGCCTGCAAAAAGCCTTATTTTTATTTCTTTTATATTTGCAATTATTTATCTGTAAATATGTGCAACATTGTACAAAATTAAAAAAAATGAATCTCATTTTAAATAATTTTATTGTTATTTTTTTACACATATTATGAACTATTTAAAGAAAAACCTACACATGAATGCCTAATTGATACATATAATTCTAATTAGTTGTTAAATTAATGAAACTGCTATGAATGGCTCTGACAGAAGTGTAGGAAACGCATACATAAGCGATCGCGATTCGGACGTACGAGTAACTACGTTTCCGCGGCGGCATCCCGGCTCATATTGATTGCTGGTGACATTCTTATCAATACACCCCCGGCGCGACCGCACCGCCGCGCCGCACCGCTCGCCACCCAAAAGAAACAGAAACGTTTCTTCGCGCGTTCGCAACGCAACGGAAAAAAGGGCGGAGATATTCCGGCGGCGTCGTCACCCAATAGCGTGGAGCCTCAGCCGCTGGCCGACCAATCGCGCGCAGGCGTCGGGGCGGGCAAGCGCGAGCGGCCGCGCCCTCGTTTCGCTCCGGCTTTTTATTTATTGTTGCGCGAAACACCGCGCGCGACGGGCGTGTGATGCGCGTGTAGAGATCCGATGAAGATGGAGTCCGCCGTGGACTCTGCGTCGACCGCGAGCGAGGTGAGCGGTTCGTCTGGGGGTTCTCCGAGGGTTAAAGCCGCGTCACCAGCCCGCGCCGTCAGCCCGCCCCAACTCCTGGCCCCGAGGCTGCCGCTGCCACCACCGGGACTCGGGCTGCTGGGCTCCCTGCAGATGATGCACCATTCGCCTCTCGAGTTGATGGCAGCGGCCCACCACCACGGCCCGCCACGCTACGGCAGCCCGCCGCCTATATCCACGTCCGACCCGTCCGCCAACGAGTGCAAGCTGGTAGACTATCGCGGGCAGAAGGTCGCCGCATTCATCATCCAGGGTGACACCATGCTCTGCCTGCCACAGGCTTTCGAACTATTTCTCAAGCATCTGGTAGGCGGGCTGCACACAGTGTACACGAAACTAAAAAGACTGGACATAGTGCCGCTGGTGTGCAATGTGGAACAGGTGCGCATCCTCCGCGGGCTAGGCGCCATACAGCCCGGCGTCAACCGCTGCAAGTTGCTGTCTTGCAAGGACTTCGACGTGCTCTACCGCGACTGCACAACGGCAAGGTACGTTTCATCAAGAGAATTTATTTTATCATTTGTATAAAGGAATTATTATTTGATTTAGAGCTTACTTTTCTTATTTGGTTTCAAGTAATGCTTCTTATTTATTTTTGTAACAACATGTTTAATTTTGTTTATTTCATTTAATGTAACACTTATTATTATATTTTATGTTACCTATATAGTAAGTGGATTGCAAAAAATATAAATTTTTAAGTAATGATCGAATTAAAAAATAGTAAAGTATAACAAAAATTAAAGAAAATTAAAAGAACCGTAAATACTGTCGCACCCACTTTCCTAGCAAGTCTATTCTTTACCTACCGAGTGAGGGGGTTGGGAAATTCGCATTAATTTTTCATATTTTAATACGCGCCAAATATTTCCACAGGGTTAAATATTAAAGTGAGCGTCGGCGACGGAAGGGTTAATACTCGGTTAATTAGCGGCCCAGGCTTAAATTTTTAAATAGTAATTTTTACAAACGCTAAAGTTAGATTAAAAAATCTTGTTTTGTGCGCGCTATGTTTGCCCGGTAGGCCTATATCAGCTTTCCGGAATGCGATTTTAAAAATGTAATGTCCACGTTACAGTGCGTTTGGGAGATGTAAATTTTAATTTTTCGCTCGTATCGACGCTTTGAGTTCGTAATATTTAATGTTTGTTTATTGGTGAACGGAAACATTCGGCGGGACGCGCGCCGGGTTAAGCCTCGTGACTCACGTTTATGTTTCATTTTTATGAAGTCACAGTTTTATGTTCATTTGACTGATGATGTATCTATACAAAGAGGATCTTTTAATTAGGCCGTTGATACTTTAATGTTATACCTAACCAAAACAAAGAAATGATAAAAATAAATCAAAATAGACATAAAAACTTCTGAAGGCTATTTTATTATTTACATTAGTTCGAAAACTCTACTACTATTGAAGTCTAACTCTAATTTAATACTAAATGCATTGTAGTCATTTATTGTTATAATTTGTGAATTTTGTTTATATAAATAATATTATGTCTATTTCTTTGGTAATCTGTGAAATTTATTCAAGATTATCATCTAAATGTTACTTTGCTAAACTTATGTATAATACCCACATCACTACGTATAACCAAATGCTTAAGAATAATTATTAGTTATAATTTAACAATTTAGGCCTTAATTGAATTACAAATAAGAGATGAATTTAATTAATATAATATAATAAATAATAAAATAAATATGTTGGGACATTAACACACAGCACCATCTAGTTCCATGGTATGCTGCAAGGCCTGTGTTATGGATACCAGATAGTTGATACACTACACATACCTATATAACTTTAAATACATACAATTTATAAATATAAACAGCCATGACTGGAGTACAAACATTCGTCATCACACAAATGAATGCCCCCAGCGGGACTCGAACCCGCGACCGCTGGCACAGCAAGTAGCGTCACTAAAAACTAGGCCATAAATATTTCATAAATTTTCTTTTATTCTTGCAACAGTGAACTAATTAATTATTATCAACATTTTAAATATCATTTGTTAGTTTTCGGGTCGCAGGCCGTGGCTCTATCTATCCGTAATTTTCATAGTTTATTTACAAAATATTATTGTTTTTATATTTTGCTATAATATATTATAGGCACATCACTATTTATACTTTAAATTGAAAATAAACATAAAAAAACATATTCATTGTAATATATAATAATATAATAATATATTGGTTTGTAATAAAATATAGACTCGTTACTGAAATAATATTATTCAGTCATAATTAAATATATATTAATGTATTTAACTACACATTTAATATAATTTAATTAGTTTTTTACAATCTTATGTTCTCTGTATGTTTTGTTGAAAGAACGTTGGTTTCCGCGCCGCTGGTCGCCGGTCTCTGGTCGTCCGTGTCTTCTTAATTAGATAATAATTAGTATCAGAGGATTTATTAGTTTCTTCATCATCACATTAACATGCTATATTTTAACACATCGTCGCATTCTTATCATTTTTTTTATAATTTTATGTGCTTTTGATATAAAGAAGAAGAGAATATTTTATGAGGAATGCAAAGTGTGAACTATAATGCTCATTTAATCAAAGTAAAGTATGCCTTATATAGGTAGGTACCTTGTAGATATTAGAACAATAAGAATAGCTACAAACAAAAAATGAAAAAATATATAAGATGAACAATTATTTTAATGATTAGCCGACATTATTTGTAACGTAACAAAAGCGCTTGTTTAAAAGTTAAGATTAAAAAATAAAAGCAGATCTCGGTGCGGTCGAATCAAACTAATCTGTATTGACATGTTTCCGCCATTTCGATTTCAATGGATCCATAAGATACCGCTCACAAATAAGAAATAACATATTTTTTGTATCCCATTATCTTACCTTCGACTGTAACTGATGTATAGGTGTTCTTATTTACTAAGTGACTTTTTGATAATATATAAAAAAATATCTTTAATATCCTTCCAAAAAAATGAAAATTAAAAAAAAAATTATATGTAGGTACCTAACTATTTTTAAATTAGATATCTACATAATAGGTATATGATACTAGGTCTACCTAATAAGTATTTTTAAAGTATATATTAAATGTACCTATAGTTATAGATAATATGTTTTGTAGTAGTGTAATAACAAGATATAATAAGAATAGTTTATATGCATATTTTTTATGCAGTTCATTCACAGATTCATTCAATGAGAATAAGAAAGGCATTAATTAAATATGAGTGCATATCAGCATTTATCGGGGTTATAAGCTGGTGCTAGGAAATGCGATATTTTATAGCATCGCCCGCATTACAAAACGTATATAATAATAGGTGGACGTTCCTTTTCACGCTTCAATAATTGCTCGACAGCAGATAAACGAGGCTCAGGTTACCTATCCGAGAATGGAACCCCACGGGTGTGACTTGTGATTGTGATTCACTTACAACTCTTTTGGTTCAAGTATGAGTTTGAGCACTCAACGCAAATGCTTTTGAGCTTATAATTGAATTAGTTGAACAATGTCGCCTAAGATACTATTATAAAACTTAATATAAAGCACGGAATCTTTGATTTTAGAATTTACCAAATCAGTAGGAACTGATTGAATTGCTCTATGAATATTAAATAATAGTGGTAAACATATGTAATGCTGTATTTGCTACGCTGTAAATACCCTATTAAGATAATAAATAAAGATAATATATTTTAGACAAAAGTACCTAAGAATATCAATGTCAAAATACTTCAAATGAAAAAAGTAGGTCTCAATATATTTCCTTTGTAATTATTATTGAATTGTAGCTATTTCTTGATCAATTCAACATTCAAAGCGTTGGTTCCGTCCATTGTCTCTGCTTTACAAAGCGAGGTTCAATTATGGAGGTCATCAACACGACTTTTTATGGAATTTTCAGTTTTACGACGCATTTTGATGGTCCGCCTTCAAACAGAGTGATATTTTGTAAATAAACAAGGCACTGAAATAACTACCTCATTACCTTTGTAGCGCCGGTAGGTGTGACGGAACTTCGGTAACATTTTCAGTAGTTTAAACTTTGAAATTTGTCGGAAGGATTACGGATATACAAAAAGGATTTTTAACGGCGGCCTCGTTTGAAGCTTGTTGGCAGTTCTCACGGTGTGTCAGACTAATATAAAGAGGCATTTTTAAAATAATGTTTAGTAAAAATAGAAAATTAGGGCTATTCTTTAGCATGTCTTATACCTATCCGTTTAGTTATTATTTATCATTGTCTATGTAACACATTAATTACATATATGTATGCCTTACTTAGTTCTTTAATTTTTGCTTTTTAAATAGTTTTCTTCTAAAGGATCATTAAATTTATCTATCTGAACATATACGTAATAAAATGCTAACTGAGTCGAATCTGTATATTAAATAATTGACACAGAGATTGAAATAGTCATTATTATTGATACAGAGGTCGAATCTATTGTTTTTAGAATTTTTGTCTGCCTGTCTGTTTGGCCAAGCAAAATATTTGGTATGATAATAGCTGGTTATCCGGGTAAACATATAGGATACTTTTATTTTGGGGAAATATCTCATCTCTGAGAAATCTGTACTAACCGATGAAAGGGTGAGTCCCTAGTATGTTATATATTTTAGTAAACATAATGAAATCACATTTGCAGTATAAGTACATAATAGGATAATTATTACATCAATAACACAACTACGTTTAAAATCATAAGCTCAAGGGTGGCATATGTGAGCTATAATGAATGATGATGGGAGAGGAACTCACTGGCGGAGATCCAAGCAGTGGTAGTCATTGAAATATTAAACCAAGACGCTGCAGTCTCAGACACGTGCTGCCATATTAAGAATACAGTTAACGCTTACGGATATGCTTGCTCTGAATATGAATAAAGTTGGTTATGTTGAGTTTTTGTTCGTAATTTATTAATGAAAGTATGTAGATTTTAAGATTATATAATCATCATTCATTATCCATCTTTTTTTATATAATTGAGTTATAAACTCTAATTGTTTCTAATTTACTATGCATTAATAATTCATACATGAACGAAATAATCTCTAATTCGTTCATGAATTCATACAATAGATCCTATAATTACATGTTCTAATTTTTTAGTTTATTAGAATGTGAATAAATATAGTTTAAAAGGATCTAGGTATCTATTTTTAATTCACTCGTTGAATAAATAATTTGTAATATCATTCAATGGGTTTTATGTATAAAGAAGCTCAATATAAAATTAAAGATTATTAATATAAATTAAAAAAAGTTATCGACATTTGAATGTGTAACAATGTAAAATAGCAAAGGGAACAAATGACTTTTGGTCCTAAGCAGTCATGATGGTCCTAACCATAACGTTGCCAAAATAGTTTAAAGTTGGGCCAGCCCATCCGCCGGTATCAGAAAACGATGTCTAAAGCCGATGAACTTTCAAAATTCCTTTCTGAAATATTGAACGCCTCATCAAGTGCTGAGTTTTTAGTGGAAACACAATATTTTTATTTTTTAATAAACTTTA